CAGGAGGATCATCTCCCTACTGTTTAGGGCTTGGTCACAGCTGAGGAATACCTACCTTACAATACCCTGAGATTGTAAGCCCCTCGATCTTACAAGGAGCTGCTGTCAGGTGACTCACCCTCTCCAGAGGGTACTTGGAATGTAAGTATTCTCCATAGTGGGGGAGGAGGTGTCTCTATTTCTACTAACCTGGCTTTTTTGGGGGAGGGGGGTAGAGTCTCACTCAGTTGCCCTTGGTAGAGTGCTGTGACATCATAGCTCACAGCAAACTCAAACTCTTGACCTCTTACCTCAGCCTCCCAAGTAGCTGGGGCTATAGGCACTCACCACAACACCCGGCTAGTTTTTAGAGATGGGTCTTGCTCTTGTTCAGGTTGGTCTTGAACTCCTGAGCTCAGGCAACCCACCCACCTCGGCCTCCCAGAGACTAACCTGGCTTTTTTTGATAGATTTCTTAAGCATTACACAGTCATTTTATTATAAGAGGTAAAACTGATCATCTGAAAAGTGGAAAAAATGACCTTGGCAAAATTCACTTGATAATCATAACTGCCAATTCATCTTTTTGACCTCAAAGAAAGAAAAAATAATTAGTTTTATGACATTAGGGACCTCTACTGCAAAAACTATAATATTTAATGAGGGGACTTACAGAATAACTAGACTGTTCAATAGTTAAAACTACTTTAAATTGATTTTATTAATTTGGAAAGTGAAATGTGACACTTTGCATTTATTTGATCACTTTGAGCTTGAGATATTTGTCATGTACTTGTTTAGACTCATTTTCTCTTTTGTAATTCAGTTTTATACAGGCTTTGTAATACTCTGCATATTTCTCAGTAGAATAGATAAAACCTCCATCAAAATGTTAATCTTTCATAGATCATCATTTGTTGCTTTATTTTTCTCAAATTGTTGCTTTTCCTCTAATTTTATTTGCATGATCTGTTGAAAAGATATTTAAAGTTTTTAGACCCTCAACTTGTTTTTCTTTATGATTTCTTTCACTTATTTTAAGCTTGTGACGCTCTCCTTTTATTCACAAATCACATTCATTTGTATTTTCTTAGATATATTCATCAATTTTATTTATCTATTTTTTCTACTACATACTTGTAGCTTAAATGTGTTTATTCATTACTCTCTGATCAACATGACAGTTATATTTTATGTACTGCAAAACAAACATAAACTTATTTTTCTATTATAAAATATTTAACTAATATCAGAATCATATTGTAGAATCTTTTTCTCAATAATTTTTGGATACTTTGTTAAAATTTTAAATGTCATCTCACCTAGTTTTCGTTTTTTTGCAGTTTTTGCAGGCTTGAACCTGCCACCCCCGGTATATGGGGCCAGTGCCCTACTCCTTGAGCCACAGGCACTGCCCTCAACTAGATTTTTTTCTGAAGTAAATTTTTGTTCCATTGTTCTCTTTTTCAAACTTTGTACCATTTCTGCATTGTTGAATTCTTTTTTGAGTTGAATATTTCTTTACAATTTTTTCAAAATGTTCTTCATCATTGTCAACTATTTTTTCTCAAAGTGAAACATTATATCATTTAACAAAGTTCCTTCCCTTCCTGTTGACCTCCACCAAAGTTCTATTGGAATTTGAATTGAAATTCATTTTAACAAATAGTTTACTTAGTTAAAAGACAATTTTTTCTTTTTTTTTTCTTGAATAACAATACTTTTAATTTACCCAGTGAGATCCCATTTTAAACATTAATCAGTTTCATAAATGGGTCACTATATCCACTGTATTAATTAGCAAAATCAAGCCTAGGTTACTGATCAAAATATGGATCTCAAAAAACTTGTATTAGCCGTATCAGAATGAGGCCCTTCTGAGAGAATGTTGGCTGATACCCCTCGAGAGACTATGCATTCTTTTTTTATTTTTAATTGAGTTAAAATTCAGGTAACATAATCACCCATTTTGAAGTGTATGATTCAGTGGCATTTAGTGTATTCACAGTGTTGAGTAACCACCACATCTTTTGAGTTCCAAAACTCTTTCATCATTTCAGAAAAATACCTAGTACTTCCTTAAGAAATCACTCCTGGCCAAGCATGGTGGTTTGTGCCTGCCTAGTTCCAGCACTTTGAGGTGGGAGGATCCCTTAAGAACAAGAGTTTGAGACCAACCTGGGCAACAAAGTGAGACCTAGTACAAGAATTTTTTTTCAATGTCTTTTTTGTTTTAAGGAAAGGTAGTTCAAAGGAATTGTTTTTCCTTAAAATTCAATAATCTTGTTGCCTCCACTTATTTAATCACTACTTTTGAACTTATTATTGGACACTGGCTCTCCATAGCAATCCCTCCTGCCTCATAACCTGCATTGTATTCATTTCTTTATACTTTCCCTTTAAATTCTTACAGAAGACCTCCAGGTAGTTACCTGATTCAATGTTTAGTTTTCTGCCATATCCAATTTGCTGTTCTCTGCCTTGACCATTTTTAAATTCTTGGAATTGCAGAGGACACTGCAGTTATGTTCTTGGTTGAAAACATGTCTAATGACTCTCTGCACCAGGCACTAACTTCCCTTAGCGCCTGTTTATAGGTGCAGCCATCCATTATCCACGTCTCCAGTTTCAGTTTAGGAAACTGTTGAAAACCCCACTCTTATCTTCACTTTTCTACCTTCATGTGATAACAGTAAAGTATTAGAGAGCTGATATAACATGGAATACAGGTACATATAGCATTATTTTCCAAATTTCGAATATAAAACCATATACATAATGATGAACAGAAAAACCACCAGCAATTAGTGCTGAGTTAGGAGTGTTAAGCCTACGCCCAGAGTCATAAAAACTACCAAACCCTATTTTCTTCTACTAACGTAGAAAAGAAAATGCAAACTTTTAGAATGCAGGGTTTACTACTTCATATCCTAGAGTGTTTTTATGCCAAGTCATAGTGCTAAGTACCTACAGCAGCCTGGAAAACCAGAAAACATTGTGCAATAGAATTAATAGATATAGGCCATCTGTCCTCTAGTATGCCACTTACAGTACATTTGTTTCTTTAAAATGTCGCTAAGATAAACATGTTAAGTATAAGTGGTTGCACAAAGAGAAACACATGGTATTGTCAGGGGTTTGTCTTTAAGTTATGAATCTCTGTCACAACCACTTAATCTCTGAACCTTGTCATGAAAAATTCCTGCACAGTATAAGCATCCTGTGCATTCCTACCCTCCAGGTAATCTGAAGATCAGAATAAATGAGATTATTTCTGTTCCTCTGCAGAGATAAGCCCTTCTGATTTAAAAGCCACATCACCTTTATCTAAAAATGTTATGTTTCATTATTAAGAATATTTTGAATTTTACGTAATGAAGCATTTCTGTTGGTTGTGATTTTGACTCCAAGCAAGACTTCCTTTGAGAGATCATAACAATACGTGACCACAAAAGCATTAAGATGCCAACTGAGTGAAATGAATAGCAGGTAGATAGTCATTTCTCTCTCAATCCTGGTCCTGTTTCAGGCTGAAAGTAAGGAAAGTCTGGATGGGATCACTAACAGATGTTAGTTTTGAAAAGGTAAAAACTAAGCCTAGAAACCCAGCTCAAACTTCCTTTGCAGAAAAACTACCAATTCATCTGAAATCTCCTGGAAATTGGATTCTACTCCATGGATAAGAGGTATTAAAAGCAGGACCTCTCAAACTGCAATGTCTGTGGTTATCCAGAAGGTTTGTTTTAGGTTTTTATCAGCTGAACACTCACAGGGATTTGGAATTTTCCTTTCTGAATACAGAGGGAGAGAGGGATGTACAAAATGTCTTTTATCCATGTGAAAACCCCACACTGTACCCCAGAAGTGCATTAATGTACATAGTTACCATTCAATAAAAAAAAAGTCTTTTATCAGGAATAATCTCTTGAAAATATTCATAATTCCTGGTATAAGATTATAGAAATCAGAATTCTCTCAGAAGATAGACAGAAGTGTGCTTTCTGTCCCAACTTCCTTTCTCTGGTTGGTATTTTTATTCTCAACTCTTCGGTATTTCTCTATGCCTTATAGTAATTCCAAACACGGTTACCAGGGAAACAGCCAAACCAAGACTTTCTTATAGTCCCAGAGATTTAGTTCCTTACAGATAATTTTCCCAACCATTTACCATTTCTTAGTTTTTGGAAAAACAATGTTCTAAAAGACTTACTCTATCAAACAAAAATGTGACAAAAAGATATAGTTGGAGTTGCCAAAATCAGGGACTAGATCACTTCACCCACTGAGGGCCAGTTTCTGATTCCCTTATCTGATTATATCGTGGCGATAAGATGGAGAAACAAAGATGACTCAATTGCGTAACATACAAGGAATTGTCTAGGGGTGCCTAACTGGCCAACTAGTCAGCCACACCTTAAATATAGCAGACATGTTAAACATCCCTATTAAAACAAACGTATGTCTGCGTGACATTAGCAAAACTTTTATCTGGTATGATTGTTTCTGCTTTGGAAAAAAAAATCCATCAATGAAGAAATTAACCTGAAATTTCCAGAAGTGAAAAGGTAGCTTAAATGTGAAAACTAACTTACTTAGGAAATTATTTTTAAAATGATCTTCCAGTACTAATAAGAATCCTGCCCTGTCTAAAATGAGATGCTGTGGGAAGGCTGGCTAGTCTCCTGGCAGCCTTGACCAGTCCTGGCATCTGTCATCCTAGGGGTAATGCCAGGTTAGGTAGGGATGAAATATTTAAGGCAAACTGTCGCATTGCCATGACTAGCTACCAAAACACTTGTGGCTTGTTTGGCCTGTTGATATTCTTAGGTCACAACTGACAAAGAACAGATATTGAGCTTTCTGACACTTCACATGCACTTTTCTGGCTTTGAGCTTAGACCTGGGCTTATATTAGAAGCATTTAGCAACTGCAGTTCTCCCCACAATGAGGAGAGTTGGGGATAAACGTTTTAGATGCCATTCTTCCCACACTGCTTGCCCATCTGAAATAAGTTCCATAATTAGTAACACCAGAAGAAGATTCGCTTCCTCCATCTGCTTAGAGCATCTTTAATTTCCTTGTTCCTCAGGCTGTAGATCAGTGGATTCAGCATGGGGATTATGACTGTGTATAAGACCGAGGCCAACTTGTTTTGGCTCAGGGAATCATCAGAGTTAGGATACATATAAACAAAGATTCCTGAGCCAAAAAAAAGGGTCACTGCTGTCAGATGAGAAGCACAGGTGTTGAAAGCTTTGGACCTGCCTTCAGCCGACGTGATCTTCAGGATGGTGGCGACAATGTAACCATAGGATATCATGATAACCAGGACAGATGCGAGTCCGAAGATCACTGTGAGCACAGAGATCAAGACTTGAAAGAAAAAGATGTCAGAGCAAGATAGGATCAGCAGCTGGGGCAGGTCACAGAAGAAATGGTTGATAACATTTGGCCCACAGAAATGGAGCTGAAGTAAGGCACACAGTTGAATAAGTGAGCCAAGGAATCCGGTGATACAAGATCCTGCCACCAGCTGCACACAGAGGGTGGGGGACATGATGGCCGTGTAGAGCAGAGGGTTACAAATGGCAGCGTATCGATCATAAGCCATGGCTGCCAGAAGACAGCACTCCGTCAGACCCAGGCTGGAGAAGATGAAGTACTGCAAGGTGCACCCCAAAAAGGAAATGGACTTATGCTTCTTGAAGAAGTCTGAGAGCATCTTGGGGGTTATAGTGGAAACATAGCAGATGTCCAGAAAGGACAGGTTACTGAGGAAAAAGTACATGGGTGTATGTAGATGCGAGTCCACCCTGATGAGGACAATGAGACTCACATTCCAGGTCACTGTCATGAAGTAGATCCCTAGGAATATTGAAAAGAGGACAATGGTGAGTTTTGGAAATTCAGAGAATCCCAAGAGAATGAACTTTGTAATTGTTGCGTTGCTGCGTTCCCCAGTCATCGCATTGGTCATCCTAAGATCTGTAGGGGGAAAAGGAATAAATCACTAAGTCAGTTTCTATCCAAAGTTTTACTGAAATAAACTACCTTCTACCCACAAGGAAGACAGAACCAAGGGAAATAGTGAGCTATTTTGGAGGATATAGCCCTGATTAACTTTGCTTCCAAAGAACTACAATGGTTCTGTATGTCAGTTTTCTCACAAGTAAAAGATGATCGGTCAGGCGAGGTGGCGCATGCCTGTAATCCTACCACTCCGGGTAGATGACTGGAGCCCAGGAGTTTGAGACCAGCCTGAGCAGGAGTGAGGCACTATTTCTACTAAAAAAAAAAAAAAAAAAAAAATAGAAAAACTAGCTGGGAATCACAGTGGGCCCCTGTAGTCCCAGCTACTCAGGGGGCTGAAGCAAGAGGATTGCTTGAGCCCAGGAATTGGAGGTTGCTGTGAGCTATGATGATGCCATGGCACTGTAGCCTGGGGCAACAGAATCAGACTCTTTCTTAGAAACAACCAAAAAAAAGAGGATAAATAAACTTTTTGTTATTAACTCATCATTCTTCTATGACGACAAAAGAAAATGTAAGACCATTTTCAAAATCTGTTTAAAAATGTACCTTAAAAACTTTTAGAGTATTATTAATAAAATTATAATTCCTATGTATAATTTAGTGACAAAGAGCATGAATTTGGCTTTCACACAGCTGTTTTTCAATATGTTTTCCTGCTACCTGTGAACTATATGTCTCTGAGAAGGTTGTCTGACATCATTGTGCCCAAGTCATTTTACCTGTGAAAGAGACAGCAAGGCCTATTTCATAGGGTTTAATGGAGCTTACACAGCATATACGCACCATGCATACACTAAGAATTATATAAAGTGGTGTCATTAAGGGATATCTTTTTAGGATAATTTTGAAGAACTCTTTGAGTTTGTGAAAAACCTTAAAACTTACACTTTTAAAGAATCACATAGATAATATCCTCTGACTACATTGTGATTAAGTTAGAAATAAATAACAAATTGGTAATAAAAGAAATATAATTGGAAGCTACATATTTGGAAACTATTCATGAAACATTAATGTTCAGTCTCATTAATTAGCCATGGAAATGCAAATTAAAACAGTGGGTACAATTTCATACCCACCATTTTGGCAAATTAAAAAGTAGGACAATATCAAGTATTGACTAGAACTTAAGATGAACAGGGTCCTCATCTCCTGCTAATGGGAGTGCAAACTGGTAGGAATGTTTTGGACAAGATTTTGGTCACGTTTAATTAGGATGAATAAGCACACACACCTACATACACATACAGTGTAACCCCCCAATTCCAATACTAAGTATATTCTCTAGAGCAACAGATGTCCAAGTGTGGTAAAAGAATCTCTTGAGGCCCCAGAGACACTTGTGAGTATGGTCTTCAAGGCCAAAATTATGCATAGGCCAAAATGTCCATTCAAAGGCAAGGTAGAGTAGTGGAGTTTAAGGTAACTGAGTACAAAAAGTTTTTTGTATGATTTTAGTTTTCACATTGCAACTAACCTTTTAAGAAAATACCACTTGATGAGTTTTGGGTTGTATTAAATAAATTTTTGTACTGAAAAGACTATTAAAATACACCTCCCTTTTCCAATCGCTGACGTGTGTGAGGCCAGATTTCCTCATCTAACTCACCCCAAACAGGATCTCCCAACACACTGAACACAGAAGCAGACCTAGGAATCCAGCTGCCTTCTAAAAGCAGCATTTACCAAAAGACTCAAAGTTATAAAACAAAGCCACTATTAACAACCTATTTTTGTTTGGAAAAATGCAGTTACTGATGTTTATGGATTATTTAATGAAAATATTTCACTCATATTAATATATAACAGGTAAAGGAGGACATGGGCAGAACTGGCAGGTGGTAGGTGGCTGAGATTTACCAACATTGCTGAAGAAAATGAAAGCATAAACCATAACGAACACACACAAGACTTCATTATGAGCAACCGAAACTTCCCGATAGTTAGGGAACTGCCTTGGCCTTCTCGTCCTTCCTCAAATTGCTAGTCCAGAAAGATCATGCCCTATTCAAAGCCTGAAAAGATGCCATAGCACATAATACATAAACGTTACAAGAAAACATGAAGGAAATAAGAGGAAAATAATTAACACATGAAGAAAATATACCAGAAAAAATGTCACCCAGGTCAGATGGAAAATTCTGATCAAACATTGTGAAATCACAGTACTTACTTCAGGAAAACAAAAATCCTCTATAAGACAAAAACTTAAAGAAGTGACAAAAAGACAGAATAGAGGGGAAAAAAAGAAGGTAATAACAGGAAATAAATAACAAAAAGCAGAACTCAGACACAGAGAGGAGGAAAAAAATTTACCATTGCAGGCTGAAAGTAGCAAATTAGGAGACAATATATTGCTGAAAACACAGTGAAGGTCAGAGGTAGCCCGGTTTTTTTCTAAAAGGAAGGAAGGAAAGGGAAATGAGGGGGGAGGGGAAGAATGTAATAAGGGAAGGAGACAGCCAGGAAGGGAGGGAGAAAGGAAGGAAGGAAGGGAGATAAAAGTAAAGAAGGGAGGAAGGAAAAAAGAGGAAGAAGGAGAAAAAGGAGAGAAGTACATATTTAGAAAATTCAAGGGGCTCGGAGCCCATAGCTCAGTGAGTGGGGCACCAGCCACACACACTGAGGCCGGTGGGTTTGAGCCCAGCCCAGGCCAGCTAAACAACAATGACAACTGCAACAAAAAAATAGCCGGGTGTTGTGGCGGGTGCCTGAAGTCAGTTCCAGCTACTTGGGAGACTGAGGCAAGAGAATCGCTTAAGCCCAAGAGTTGGAAGTTGCTGTGAGCTGTGATACCATATTACTCTACCAAGGGTGAGTGAGACTTTGTCTCAAAAAAACCAGAAAAAAAGAAAGAAAAGAAAATTCAAGGAACATGGATCTAAGTGCCCATCAATTCATAAGTGGATTAACAAAATGTGGGGTGTGCATATGTGTATGTGTGTGTATATATATGTATATATAAAGTATACACACACACATATAAAGCATATATATAAAGTGTATATATATACACACACACACATATACATAGCAACTTCTTTATATGGCTGAACAGTAGTACTCCATGGTGTATGTGTACGTGTGTATTGTGTGTGTACCATTCAGCCGTATAAAGAAATTACTTTAGCCCCATATGCCTTTGTTTCTTCACCTCTAAAGGAAGAAACATCATCACCTCGGGGGCTTTCATGAGGACATACGTGAGACATGCAAAGTGGGCACAGTCATAGGCAAGCCCTTGGAAATGGGAGTCGTATTAACAATGAACAATAATGACTATATTCTAAAGGTAGTTTTCTAACTATAAATCTTTTATAGGGGAAAAAAATGGGCTTATTTGGTGGTGAAAATATTAGTTCCAGGGTCCAGGTGGTAAACTATCAGAAAACCTCTGTTCCCTGCATTCCACTGTACACACTGGCTAATAATATTTGAAATTCGGTGCTAGATTGTTTTTTAGCTCAACCCCCCTGGTTTCTGTTAAAAAAAAAAAAACAAACAGCACACTGTACCCCATGACTGTATTACTGTACACAGCTATGTTTTAATTTTAAAAAATAGTATTATCTCATAGAGGTGGGAAAGAGGGATCATGGGTGTTCTGAAAACAAACAAACAAAAGTAGGTGCTGAGTAGATGCGTGAGGTCTTTGGGGTGAATGCACATGAGGGCAGGAGGGCAAGAAAAGAAAAAAGAGGAAAAGGCTTTCAAGCGTGGAGGCTATGGTGCTGCAAATGAACTCACCCACCTAGATATTCTTGCAGGCATTTGGCTCCCACAGGTGTGCCTTGGTGAAGTTCTGGGAGGCCCAGCCGCCATGCTGTCTTCTCCTGGAGTGTGCTCTAGTCCCCAGATGGACATACAGTTCTTTCAGAAATTATAAGCCACAAATATATGCATTCAGCTTCCCTTAAAGCAGCTTTGTGCTTTTGGCGACGGCTGCTACTGATGTTAGAGAGGTTCCAGCTGAAGCTTCTCCTAAGTGTTTCCTTCGGGTCCAGTGTGGGGAGAGACCAGGCAATTAACAGGAGGCGCTGTTTTCAGTTAATTATTCTCTAGAGTGATGGATGAAGACAACAAATGGATAAATGTTCCCAGCTGATTCCATTTCTCCACACTACCATGTGCCCCTCATGACCGAATTGAATCAAGTCCCAATTTTTTCCTTTCCAGATTTTTTGGAATCATCAAATCTGGAAGAGAATATCTAAGGTGACTCTGTCATTTATTATCCAAACTTCAGGCATGAAAAAGGGAGTAATTAATAATCATGTCAGGACAATCCCCATAAACCAGGATTGTCTTAGGCAATCCAGATGGTAGGCTCCTCCACTAGTTTAAGTTGAAAAATGCCATTTATTGTGTTGGTAATTATGCACTTAAGTTCCAAGGGCAGACTGGACAGACAGGCTTAAGGTTGAATTTTTACTTCACTTCAAGCTATGTAAACTGGATGACATTCCTTAATCTCTCACTGTGCCTCAGTTTCTTAGTCAGTAAAATGGAGGTGCTAATAGAACAACTACCTTACAGGGTTTGGGTGGATTTAAGCAAGATAATACCCATATAGTGCCTGGAAGCACTCAATAAATGTTAGCAATTTTATTTTTGTTAATAATATCATTGTTTTTCATTTATCACTACTGACATCTTATATAGTTTTGTTTATCTGTTTCTTGTCTGTCTCTTTTCAAATACTATACCGGTCCCATGAGGTCAAGAACTTTCACTGTTTTGTTCACAGGTGTATTTCTGGTGCCCAGCACTGTGTCTGGCATGTAATGAGTACTCAGTATTTATTGAATGAATGAATGAATCCATTGTATTCACTCTTCAGGAAAACTTACTCATGTCCACATTATTAAATGTTACTTCTAATAAAAAGACATCTACTTTACATCTCCGTGTTCTAAATTTGGTCACTTTTTA